CCCTCCCCCCCTTCCCTCCCCAGGGTTTACCAGTTTGCCTCTCTCTGCAAAGCTCAAACCTCAATTTTTTAATGTATTCATTAAAAGGAGTGCTTTATGGGACGAGTGATAAATGTTTTGCAATTTTTTCCCTTTCAAAGGATCGAGTGTTATACAAGTCAGCGGAAGGGAATACTATCACAAATGTTTGCTATAAAGCTTGTTCTTCAGTACGGATGTCTGATCACAGGTCAGTCATGAAGAGAAGAGAAGAGAAGAGAAGAGAAGAGAAGAGAAGAGAAGAGAAGAGAAATTAAATTTGCCAGTCTTTTTTTGAAAAACTGACACGTTTTTCTTCTTTCTGCCTTGATAGACCAGTCTATGGAATTTACCAAGTAACGCTAAAACCATGCAAACAAAGGTTAATTATGTCAGATGATTTTACTATATGACTTTACTATATCGCACATACTAATAGTGACAAGTTTTATTTGTGCCGATGGAATATATTTTATATTAATATCATTGTATATTTGTTCTTTTAGTATTCCTTTAACCGGTGGCCAGTTTGTCAGAGATGTTTACATAGAAGGTACTTTTTCTACCTAAGCGTTTCCTATGAGAGAGAAACCTATATTGTGCTAGCTGACACTTAAATGGTTTCCGTTCAAGCCAATCAAAATTTAGATGCATTTTCAGTGTCCATTTTCCTTTCTTTCCTCCAGCTAACCGAAGACGTAATACAGCCTCGAACAGATCACAAAAGGATAGTTCTGTTTGCACGATCCTTTGAGATTTCGATATGCCAAGAAAATGGCGTGGATTTTCTCGATGATGGACTTCGTGTCCACTCTGCTACCATCGTAGTGCTAGTCGTAAATCCATTCAAATGCTAGGTTTCCCAGGATGCCATTCAAGTGCTACCAATCTAGTGCTAGGCAGCTGTGCTAGTCGTAAATCCATTCAAGTGCTAGGTTTCCCAGGATGCCATTCAAATGCTACCAATCTAGTGCTAGACAGCTGTGCTATGCGTAAATCCATTCAAGGGCTAGGTTTCCCAGGATGCTATTCAATCACTACCAATATAGTGCTAGGCAACTGTGCTATGCGTAAATCCATTCAAGGGCTAGGTTTCCCAGGATGCCATTCAAGTGCTACCAATCTAGTGCTAGTCAACAGTGCTATGCGTAAATCCATTCAAGTGCTAGGTTTTCCAGGATGCCTTTCGAGTGCTACCAATCTAGTGCTAGGCAGCTGTGCTATGCGTAAATCCATTCAAGTGCTAGATTTCCTAGGATGCCATTCAAGTGCATTCTGGCGATACTAATTTTTGATGGCCAGTATATCTAAAATTTTAATGATAACAGATAGAAAATTATTCTCTAATTTTTGTTTCATTTTGTTTCATTTAATTTTTTTTTTTTTCTTTCCCTATTTGTATATACTTTTTAAATTATGAATGGATGAATAATCGAATTGTTTTCCCATCAATGTACAGTCTATTTAAGCTATTGGGATTATTTAATAGATTAAAACTACAAAGCCAATAAAGACAATAAACGTAACTAACCTCCTAACTTTTTCAAAATGTTGTGAAGTCGATAAAGTTAATATTGTTCTTCCGCGATTCCTGTTCCTTGATGAATTTGAACTTGGTAGGGGCACCACTGTTGAGCCATTTCACATCCTAGACTCATAACATTTCTGAAAATTTTAATTTCTTGCCCATATTTTTTAACTGCCAGATATTTTTTAAGCAAAAAAAAAAAAAACAAAACAAAACAAAACAAAACGATATGCATGGTTCGTAATAAACGGTTCCAGCTAATTCAAGATCTCAAGTTTACTTTTTGTCGGAAACCCTATGTAATTTAATTTATTTTTGAGCGTGGGTTGCATAAGATGAAGTAATAAATATTATATTACGTGCCGTATTTTTCCTCTTTGCATGGTTCCCGCTGCTTCTGCTACATAAAACAGCCACTCTGATATTAATAATAATTGTTATTTAAAAGATAATTTCAAAACGCATCAAAAAGCTTCGATTTTTTACTTTAAATTTACTCTGCTATTATATCCCTCGGAGTTGGAAGAACTACAAGCTGTTTAAACATGAATCGATAAAAGAAAAAAAATTCCACCCTCGGCAAATATTGCACATACTTCAAAATTACGAATAATGTTTTTTCTCTAGCCGCGATAAAAAAAGCCATTTAGGTGCTAGACGCAGCTGATTGGCTTTCTGACCTCCAGGGACCATTCATCACTATGACGACAGATTATAAACCCACAATAGGACTCTTTGTGGTAGTACGAGCTTTGGTTGCCGTGATTTTTGAGGCAGATGATGATATAATTTGTCTTTTTTTAAACAAAACAAGATGGCTAGGTGAAGAGATTGGACTACAATGTTAAGTGAAGAAAATGAAGATATTTCGGATCCAATATTGGCGTCGCTTTTCAAACAATCTTTAGAAATCGATGCAGACTTAGAATTCCAAAATGCGATGTCCAAACGCGATTTTTATCACGAAGAACTGTGTGGATGGACAGTCGATCAGAGTGCTTATCACCGATTCAAATGGAATTCACAGCGAAAACTTTTGAAAACTCCTAACAAAGATGCAAAAGCTGTAACTACAAACCCGAAGAGAAGCTTCTCGCGACAGAGCGTCTATCGTACTAGTGATATTGAGTTTGACTTCAAGCACTACCAACATCGTGTAAAGTATATTGAACAGTATAGGAACGAAAAGCTTATACGACAAGATGCTGGGCTAAATGATATCTTAGTTAAATCAACCAGTGATCGGAGGAAACTTAAATCTGAAGTCTGTGATGAATGTACAAATCATCGAACTTCGCCTTCTGAAACTTCGGATGTCCTGAAATTAGAGCACTCTGAATACTCCTCAAACACAGCTGTGACGAATTCCAGCATTGGGCCTACATACCATGCGAAGAACCGTCTTAATACAGGGATATTTCATGGCAAGAAACTATATTCTCGTCCAGTCTTTAGGTATAGTGGTCTTCACAGTAATAGAGAGACAAATTGGTGAGTAGATTTTCTATTTTAGGTGATAATTATTTATCATAAATAAAAAAATTAAATGTTTACTTAATTATATTGAATTAATTTTACATTACATTTTATTATTTTATTGGAATTATTCTAAAAATGAGATGTATTGTAATTGCTTTTGTTATGATTACGATTCTATCTCTTATCTTTGATAATTGTTTTTTTAAAGTTCTTAATGTAATTTCACTTAGTATAAGATCAGATTGCATCGCTTTTTCCAATGAGTGTTTGTCTTTCTCCGTTTTTATACAATAGAATTTATAATGTATAAACGTGTCATGTCCGTGTAAACTTCCATTTTAATGTTAGGCTATTTGTTTTGTAATGACAAGCTGTAAAGTCTGTAAAATAAACAGTGCTTTAAGATAAAGAAGAAGAGCAGTGTTCACGCACTGAGAAGAATTACTCCTTTGAAATTCAAAAAATCAGAAAAGTCGCTACCTAACTCTGCTAGTACTGATGTACTAGTTCACATTACTAATATTTCGAATATTTATCAATAAAAAGGTTTCAGGTAATTGGGAAGGTTTACCAATGCGAAAAACGTCAGTAAACAAACTTATGATTATTATTTTTGTGACTGCTTCAATCCAATTAAGTTTATTAATAAGAGGATTACTTTAGACTACTTTCGGGTTTAGGGACGGACCATTAGGTAGTTGATGGTGGGTTGCGTAAATCCCCAAAACATATCAAACTATATCATAAAAATATCATATCTTTTGCTAGGAGAAAAATATCTAACTGTACGCAAAAAAATAACGTGACAAGGGTTTAGCCAAGCAAATAAATATCATGCAACCAGAATTCCTGCACCTCCCCCCCCCCCCCCCCCCCCCCCCCCATCCCCCTTATCCATTATCTAATGGTCAAACCCTTGTTAAAAAGAGGATTACTTTAGACTACTTTGTTCGGTTTAGGCCGCGCGGCGCAGCAGCCCATTTACACAACTTCTTTTAAAAAGCTTTTACTGTAATAACTTTAGTGCTGCTTAAATCTTACTGGACCTAATCGTTCTTAATAAAGCTTTATTGAAAAGACTATATAATTAGAGGTTTAACGAATGTACTGGTCTTTTCTGTAACAAAATTTGTAGAAAACTAGCTTATTCTGGCCGTAATGACTTGACCTGAATTAAGTCTATTTTCACTTAATTTGAGTTTGAAGTAAAACATTTAAAAATATTATTTCGATTTTCATTTGAAGGAACGAAGTTATTGATAGCTCAATAGTAGGTTTGCACACCCAAGCAGCATTGTGCAAGCAGACACCGCCTTCCCGTGGAATGGTAAGTAAGGAGAGGAGAGCAGAGGAGAGGAGAGCAAAGGAGATTGGTTTGTAATAAAAATGTCGTAAAAAAATTGATAAGATTCTATCTTTTTCTCTACTGATCAGGAAGAATCATGGACGATCGTCGGCGTGGAGAAGCGTCCCTTACCACAACAACGAAAAAGAACAGACCTCTACTCCGCGCTTTCAAGCAAGTCACATCGTAAAAATACCTCGAGTTCTTCCAGATACCAGAAATATTCCACATCCGCTAACAAATGCGACAAATGGGTCAAAAACCGTGAGCAAGAGCCCGGTGGACCGTATGGAAGCGAGAGCTTTAGAGTGACGCCTAGAAGTAACAGCGCCCCTAACATATACAACAATGCATTAGGCGGCCGGCAAAGCTTGTGGAAAAGTCCAGAGGACTCTAAGAAATCTCACACGAGTAGCTTAAATGACGGTAAAGCTAGAGGAAACACGAGTAGCTCTTCCAAAATGGACTATTCTTGTTATACAGAAATGTTTAAGAATGTCCTAGACTATTACGGGACTAAAAAACTTCAACCAAAGCCAAAACTCCCCACTGCAGAAAATGGAAGATTGTTGTCTGTAAAGACATGACAATTTTCTAATGTTGTTCTGAAGCCAGATTAGCGCTAATCCCGAGATTAAATCTTTGAAGTCTTTGATTGTTATTATAATCAACCGGAATTAGAGTTAAGCAGGCTTTTGACAACTGTGCCTAGTCGGAGGTTAATTTCTTTCGTCGAACTATAAATCATTAAATTTGAAGTGTAAATATGTAATAAGGTATAAATTTATGATAAGAAAAGGGATATTCGATGATTTTATAAATATTGTACACAGCAGATAATGAAGTTTCAAAACGAAATAAAAATTGAAATAGAATCACCAACATATGATTGCCACAAGGTTCATCACTGGGACCACATTTTGGTCACTGGGAATGGGAAATAAAATTACCAAAATGGGATTGCCCCAAAGGTTCATCATTGAAATTGTGAATGAGAAATAGAATCACCAACATATGCATAGGATTGCCCCAGAGTTCATCACTGGGACCACGATTTAGGGCACTAGAAACGGAAAATTAAATAGAATCACAGACCTGGGAATTTCCTAAAGTTCATCACTATACCAGAAAATAGGTCACTGAAAATGGTAAATAGAATCACTCATTATGGGTTTTCCCCAAGGTTCATCGCTTGGGCCAGAATTTAGTTTAGCTGGGAATGGAAAATTAAAAGGATGGGATTTGTCTAAAAATTGTAATACCTGTAATAGAGCCTGGATATAAAAACAATTTGAGCATTTTTGAAGGTAAGAAAATAAAAGAAACAATTGCGCGCCAAAATCAGGTTTATATGAAGCAGCATTTCGATAGTACAGCGGTTTTTCAATATGGCGGACGAAGTAAACAAAGGCGAACGTGAAGACAGAGTTGATGAACGAAAGATTGTTGCTGAATTCTGTCATCTTTTGGAAAAATCACGGACACTATTCAATTCTTTAAGGTATCTACTGTTTCATGCAATATAATTTTTTATGGATTTTTTTAGTGAATACTAATGTATTCGGGTTTGCTTGGATACGTTTTGGGGTGTAGCTCATTGATCACTTGATCATTTCTTTTATTCTTATACTATTCAATATATACTCTATATACGCTTATAATACATTAAAATAAGTAGTTAATGATCTATTTGTTGTATTTGATAGTGTAATTTTAGTCTTAATTCCGGTGAGCGAAAGTTGTGGAACTTTGAAAATTCACTTCGAAGTTGTATGGTAAACCGGACCACCATAGTGATCATGAAATTTAAACTCTTCGAGGACAAAGTTTTCAATAAATTACTAAAGTTAAACTGGCTTAACTTACCTCTAAAAAGCTGTAGTTAGTAGTATATGAGTGTATTTTCAACTTGAAAAAGATACTTTGAATGGTTGTCTCGGCCTTCGTTTCTACGACTGTAGCACAGACATCTGTAGCACACAAGCGAGACTCTGTACACTCCTGAGGGTAGGGCTCAGTCATAAGGTGTCTACTAGCCTGTAACACTTCTTTTATATGTTAAAGTATATCCTATAGTTGTATTAACTTTCTCCTTCAAGTACTAGTTACAAAGTATGTAACTAATATTTTGCCCCAATTTTTCAAATTCCTCCTTTCCTCACTATTGTGATAATATTAATTGTCTTTGAATATTTTTAAAAATGTATATATTACTTAAAGATGTCTTGAGAGGAAGAGAAAAGTGATGGAAGCTCTATTATTTTAATTTTTGATGTAAAGCTTTTGAAAATTTGAGACTTGGGGGAGGGGAGGGGAGGTCCTTTAATACCATTGTCCTCGGGGGGTAGGGGTAGGGATACTATCTAAAAATGTTTAATTTTATTTTTATTTTTGAAAAAAGGGATTTGCCGCAGTTTGGAAACAAGCATTGGCAGTCACACTTTGGGAAAACTTTTGATGTTTACACACGGGTAAAGATTATGCATGATATCGTGTTTACATAATTTCAATTTTGTTACAATGTTCAGTTATTCAACACAGCAAACTAAACTATATTTTGGATTTATTTTCCAGCTATGGAAATTTCAGCAGCAACACAGGTAAAATTAACACTGTAAATAGCATTGTTTTTAGATTCCTTAAAAAAACCTCAATTTTGTCTCGATTTTATTTAACAAGTACCTCTTGGCTGAACATTGACAGGACACTGCAAATGTGCAGATCAAACCCTAAAACAATTTCAATCAGTTTTTCCCTGACAATGGGTTTGTAACCCGAAAGCTTGGAGCAGGAATATGAAAATAAAAATCTTGGATGAAACAAAAAAGTAGTAAAATTTCTGGGCTGTTCTAAGTCAGGGCACAGCTAATTTACAGATCCTGAAACAACCTCTGGGCTGATAACAGTCAGGAAACAGATTATTTTGGCCATTCATAGATCAAGATTAGCAAGACAACTTTCATAAATTGTTTTGTCCTAGGTCCATCCTTGATGATAAGTACAATTTAAAAAGATGGCAAATTGGGGAGATAGCTTCCAAGATTGGACAACTTTATTATCATTACTAGTAAGTTCAAGAAGTATTAATGCTTTATTAACCAACCTGTATCATGATGCCCACGGTCAGGTTTGGAGGGGGAGGGGGGGGGAGCTGTGGCCCCCATTTCAGTTTGGGATGTGTTTATTTTTTATGGCGAAACATTAAAATATCTCCAGAATGTAAGAAAAAGCATTTCTGGAAACCATATTTTAAGAATTCACTGGGAGCATGTCCTCCTCTGGTTTTGTTTGATTTGCATATGATCAATGAGGTTCATCTAATGCCAAATTCAGTTTCACTCACCCCCATCCCTCCCTTTCTCAGATTCTTGGATCCCCCTTGACACCTGTGCCCTCCGTATAGGGATCCCATTATCGCTGTCCTACTGTTAGCCCCTGGGGACAAATTTTTGTGGGGTCGGTATTCTCGCTGCCATTTGCTTGTATTACTGTTGCTGAAGAGGGCCTTTGAATTACAACACGTAGTTGTTCATGGCTTATCATATTCTCTATTTATAGAATGATGTTGTAGGACGAACAACAAAAAGATATTGAACTATTACCCAAAGGAGAAATGTTCTGCTCCTCCTTTGTATGACAAATTTATTTTATTCTTAAACCAGCCTAAGAACCAGTGAAGCCAATTATCTTCGCGAGTCATTCTCTTTTTATTCTGCGATACGAGATCGCGCATATTACAGTCAAGCAAGCAAAGAAGAAAAGTAAGTGAAGGATTTCGTTACCCAGATAGCAGAGGTCTCATTCTGCCCTCCGTCTTACAGAGGAGATCAAAAGAAAAAACACCCTCTGCTTGCAGGGTTGGCTTTCGTATGTACATGAAAAACTTGGATTTTCAGTAATTAATGCTTTTGTGTTGGATATAGGCCTGATCTGATGGTGAAGAAGCTACGCTACTATGCACGGTATACAGTAGTTTGCCTTCTTCTGAACAAGATGGAGCTTGTCAAAGAAATCATTTCGGTAGGTGTTCTTTTTTCTTTCGTGTTCGTCTCTTCTTTTCGTCCTTTCTTCCTTTCTTCTGTCCTTACCTTCCTTCCTTTCTTCCTTCCTTCCTTCCTTCTTTCCTTCCTT